ATCCCCTCTACATCCCAACAGGTTCCCATCCACATCCCAGTGGGATCCCATCCACGCCCCAGCGCTGCCCTGCTCGGTCACAGCCGGGCCTGGCCCCATCCCCTCTCCTACCCCTTCCCCACTCCTGCTCCCGTCCCTTTCCCATTGCAGCCCACGCACAGGCGGCACGGGCAGGGCCGCGCGTTTAGTCACTGTTTATTGGACAAGTGCAGGTCCGTAGGAACGGGCACGTACAGGGGTTGCACAGCGCGCCCCGGCGCCCGGCGGGACCCCGACGCCGTGACGCCGGGCAGAGCGGGTCCCGGCCCCGGGCCCCTCTCTAAAGTGCTAACGTGCACCCGCAGCCCCCACCTTATTGCAGCGCAGCCCGTGGCGCGGCCCCGCTTCTGGCTGCGCTGGCCCTGCCGCCTGCGCTGGAGCCGCGGGGAACAGGGATCCGCAGGGAACATGGAGCCATGGAGAACTTGGAGCCGTGGGGAACACGGAGCCCGCAGCTCCCTCCCGCAGCCTCCCAGCCCGCGGCCGCAGCAGGAGCGCTGTGGGCAGCAGAACGGACCTGCCCTCGTGCAAGCAAGTTCCAAGGCCGTGGGTTTGSGCCTGCAGAGCAAAGCAACCTTCCCCGCCGCCGCGCTGGAGGACCCCGGGCAGCCAAGGCGCCGTCCCGGGCCCCGCGGCCATGCTGGGACGGGGGGAAAGGCTGAGGGCGCCCAGGAGAAACCCCGAATGTGCAGCAAGGCGGTTGTGGACTCGCACAGAGGCGGTTATGGACAGGGGTGTGGAGCCGCGCGGGCCCCGTCACAGCCCCGGGAACGTGTGACCCGCCGGGACGCCCCACGGGGCCCCGGGGCCGGGCGCAGCGCAGCTCACCCGGGACAAGGGCACTTGCGGGAGGCAGCGGCAGGGAGAGGTAGAGGCGGGGGCTGTCTCTGGGTCCCGGGGGACACCAGGTTACCTGGGATCTGTTTGAGGAGGGCAGGGGAGGGAGATGCTGCACTCAGACCTGGCCAGGAGGAGGGACCTTCCCAGGGAATTCCCTCACTCTYGTTATTCCAGGGGCGATGAGGGAGTCTGACCACTTAGTGGGAGGGAAGTGTAACAGGTTTCCTATGGGGACAACTTCTGTSTGGTGCCAACCTTGTCACAAGTGAACAGTCCCCTTCCCTGCTTTACGCCTGCTCGGGGGGTCAGCAAGCAGGGCTGCCTCGCGGCTGCAGTGCCGGGCCCAGCTCGCAGCAGGACCCTCCTCCGGAGAGGCCGAGTGCCACTTGTGTGTCCTGGTGCCTGACAGCGCCCTTGGCTGAGCTCCCCGCGCTCCTGTCCCCTGCCCTGAACACTCGGACCGCAAGGATTAGGAAGCAGAGCCATGGAGTGTTACACGCTGGAGACACCCCCTTCCCGCAGTCCTGACGGGGATGTGTTAGTGATTCGGCTCAATGCAGAGGTTGCCGATGACGAAAGGAAAGGATCAGGCTACTGGTGAAGGCAGATGAAGGCGGCTGGGAGAGCTGCAGAGCGGGGGGCTCGGCTGCACAGACCCTCCATCACAGCCCGGCACGGCGCTCCCCCGGGACGCGCACCYGGCCCTGCTCCCGCGCGTGCCGGGGCGGCTCCGGCGCAGCCCCGCGCACCCGGCCCTACCTCCGTGTGAGGGGCCCGGCCCGCCGCGCCGCTTCCCCTCGGTCTCTCCCGCAAAGGCCAAAGGTGTCGCGGGGACACAGGCAGAATAGAAAACTCTTCAGACAGGTCATTGCAGACAGGTCCTTTCATCGAGTGTCATGCGGTCCCACCAGGGAAGGACTTGGTGGCGGGGAGGCGCTGGCTTCAGGGGAAGATCTGCAGTTCGAACTTGGGCGCCCACTCCAGCGCGCTCTTCACCACGGCCAGGGCAGCCGCCCCCAGCGCCACCGTCAGCCCCATAACCGCCAGCTTCACAAAGCGGTTGGTCCTGGGCTTTGTCAAGACGGATTTTGTCCGCTCCTCCCCGCGGAGGCGCTCCCTGAAGCGTTGTCTCAACACAGTGTCCGGTCGCTGCTGCACCGATGCCAACTCAAAGTCCTTGAAAGTGGAAGCAGCGGTTCTGCAAGAGAAGAACCRGGTCAAGAGCAGCCTCGGAAGCATCGCCGGGATCCACCTGCAGGCAGGAAGATCCCGAGGGAGCGAGCCCCGGCCTGGGCAGGGGCGCAGAGACGGGGACRCTGCCCTGTACTCACCGCTCTGCCTGCTGCTGCGCTGCCTCCCTGGCAAGCTCCGACGGGGGAAACTGGACGAAAAGGTCCCCGGCTCTGCTGATGAGAGTCTCGTAAGGAAGGTCCTGTGGGATCTGGGACAGGAGGTGGTGCACAGAGGCCATGTCGCACTCGCAGTCCAGCACTTCCTGCTCCCGGTGCAGCACGATCTGCAGAGAGGAGAGCACCGAGGTGAGCTGGGAGCAGCCGGGAGCAGCTC